TGCACTTCTGTAAAACAATTTTTTAGTTACCATTCCTAAAATAAACTTAAATTAGCCTAACTGTCCTGTGATGGTACGACCTTCTTTGGACTGAGTCCTCTAAATTTCAGGTGCATTTTGTTCAAAACTAGGTTAGAATATTTAATCTAAATATTCCAAGTATGGAGCACCCAGCATCTCAATGTTGGAAGGTTTTAGTTACTTGAAATCATTGTAAACAGTAACAAAAGAGGACTAAATAATGCTGGGTGCCAGTGGCTCATATCTGTTCATTCTACTTACTTGGGAAGCTGTGACTGGGAGGATTGTGACTAGAGAGTTGAAGGGGTGATTTCAGATCCTAGAAAAGCACCTCACATTCAGACACACAGACCCACAGTTCTGAGGGTGTGATCCCACCCCATAAGGCTCTTTATTTCTTAATGATCGTGACACTAAGAAGGGCACTTGGGTCATAGGCACACAGGAGTGGATGCAAGGTAGAGGTCTACACAGAGTGACAACCCTTTTCTCATGGAGAGGCAAACCGGCCGCAGAACAGAATCCCCTTGGTCTTGCTATGCTGAATGAAGAAAAGGAAAGGGCGATTGGCATAGAAGCGAGCGGTGAACATGCAGCGCATCATCATGATGGCGGCTGTGGCAGCCACCGCCTCTGTACCCTCCTCATTGACCTCAACAAAAGACTTGTGCACAACTTTGGACAGATACAGATCTCTCTTGGAAGACATTCCAGAAAAGTCTGCCTTGCCCTCCTCAAAGGCATCGGCCATGCCCATACTGCTCAGGACATCCTTCATGTCGTAATTCTCTTCCAGTTTAAACCGAGGGAGTGAAACCTCCACCTCCTCTTCATCCATGTTATCCGGCATTGTCCACTCTACAAATTTCTCATAAGTGATTTCCTTTTCCACCTAGAAGATAGTTAAAATATTTTGAGTCTCAGAACAGTGCTGTCACACATGTCACATGTAAGAAATATGTATGGTCTGCAAAGGACAGGGCTGGCCTGGCCATGGTGGGACATTGTATCAGGCTATTAAGTGGTTTAGTGCTTGGCTACCATGCTCAAGACCCTATGTTCCAGCCCCAGCATCACAAATAAACAGAGAAAACAATTTAAATAAGCTAACTGGGACCCAGCAAGGCAAGGGCTGCTGCAGAAGACACTAAAATGGCACCATTAAGATTTGGCCCCCATTACCGTGTTCAAATCGATGTGTTCATCTGGAAGCATGATGATCATATTCAGCTCCTCGCCTACATAAGGAAGCACCAGAATCCTGGTGAAAATTTCTCCTATGTAAGTCTGCTTAAAAGTAGACTTTATAAACATCATTTGCACAGGTTTCTGCTCATTCTGCAAAGGAAAACAATAAGCAAATTGAAACAAGACACGACTGACATACTGTACTAAAAAGGAATCAGACTTGAGCCCCTTAAACACTTTCTTGTTATGCTTCCAGAAATCCTCATCCAACTTTTTCAACCTCTGCTATGATTCAGACTCCAAGGCTCAAGTGTCTCTCAAAAGGCTTGGTTCTCTGAGTACTGCTATTGGTAGGTAATGGAACTTCTATGAGGCAGGGCCTAATAGGCATTTAGGTCTTTTAGAGTACTGCTGAAAGGGACTGTGGGACCTTGGCTTCTTTTACTTCCTGACTGGAGGTAAATAGTTTCACTCGACCACAAGCTCCCACTACTACCATCTAACACCTCTAACAGGCCTAAAAGCAATGACTGTGCCTTATCAGGGACTAGAACTCTAAAACTCAGCTCAGATAAGTCTTTTATAAAGTTGATTATCACAGGACTTGTCATAGTGATAGAATGCTGATGAATGCAACCTCCACTTAGGGTGCCAACATTTCTGTTCTCTTGGTAATTTCAATTAAGTATCATGACTTTCAGCATGATTCCAAACTCCACATTTCTAGCCTGGATATCTCCCCGGGACTCTAGACCCTATATTTTACTGACTCCTTGACTCTTATGTGTGGACATAAAAGAAAGCTGCAAAAAGAACCACAGGCTCTTTACTTTCCAAATCTTTTCTACAGTTTCACCCAACCAGTGGATGGTGATGCTATCTTTCCAGAGGTCAAAAGCCATGACATGTCCTTTAACTCTCTCTTACCCTACCCTAATCTGACTCATTAACAAATTATATGGGCACTTCCTTATTTATTTGTTTGTTTATGCTTGTACTAGAGCTTAAACCCAGGGTTCCATGCACTTGCTTGGCTTTTTTACTCAAGGCTGGCACTCTACCACCAAACCCACATCTCTACTTCTAGCTTTTTGCTGGTTAATTGGAGAGAAGAGTCTCTTGGGTTTCTCTATTGGGGCTGGCTTTGAATTGCAATCCTCAGATCTCAGCCTCCTGAGTAGCTAGGGTTAGAGGCGTGAGCCAGCGATAACCAGATGAAGTAGTGGTTAAAATTACCTGGATTAGCAACAAGAGCTTGTTCTCTATTCTTCATCCATCTGGCCTCCTACCATTCTGCCTTTGCTGGTCTGCTACTATCTCAAGGCTTCTTGGGAGTCCATAGGGTATCAGGTTCTTTCCATCTTTCCACTATAACTCATCCTTTCCCTTCTTCTCAGCTTACATATCACCTTGATGGTGAAGGCTCTCTCAGCAGCTCTTCTCCGTAACTGCACCTTCCAGCACAACTTCCTGCCCATCTTTTGTGTGGCTCTGAAGCACTTAGCACCACCTAATAACTGCCACTCTCTCCTTCCTGGAAAAGGTCAGCTTTACAAGGACAGGCATGTTTAGCTGGGTAATGCCTGGTAAAGAACAGACATCTACTCAACTTCTACTGACTAAATAAATAAACCAATGATTGGCAGAATTAAAAAAGAAACTGCATTTGTCACCAATATGTGCCAGACACACAGTGAGAAAGATCAGAGGACAGTGACCACATGCTATCCAACAATCCTCCATGGCTCCTGATCCTCTCTAGTTTAATTCTAGAAATTTCTGTTTAGGTACTGAATGCCATGTGACTTTATGAGCCCCAGGTCTCTGACAGTCTGCCCTTCATTCTGTATTGACTAGAACAAACCAAAGGTATTATTTTGTTACTGTTCTATTTCAGCTTTCTCTAACTTGCCTGAACTACCCGTAGGCAGAACAGCTCCCATCCTTGGCTCCCTTGTCCCGTCCTTGACCAACAGTTGGCATGCTTTCTCCATAACTGGCAAGAAAGTAATTTCTAGCTCTGTGACCCACACACTTCCTGCCACAACTACTCCAACCTGCTATTACAGAATATGTAAGTAGATACGTATGAGTGTGTTACAAGATAAATTCATCTGATAAAACAAATCATGTAGTCAATATCCACTACAGCCCCATCCCCAGCCCCAACTACAGAGACAGAAAGTAAGACATGCTTCCTCACCATCCTGCACCCAGTAAAAGCCAAATGAAATAGTTCCACAATTCAGTCTATGTAATACTCTGGGCATCATGCAGAACTACCAAAGGAGAAGGCTTTTTGCTCTCTGGCACATGTCCTTCCCCCTGGACTGTGGAAGCAGTACATGAGGAAGAAGGCCCTGTGATGGTGATGGCAATAAAGTAAAGCCAATTTCCAAGAGCATCGCTTGGGGCTAAGTCAATCCCAGGCTGCACTCAGCTCCATACCTTTCTGAGTTCAACTTGAAGAGTTAAAAATGGCTTCGTTTCAAAGCAGTAACCCTTCTGCTGCTCATATTAACCTTGGGCCCACCTGAATTTCAGAAACCGTCTTGTTTGTGCTGAAATTGCTAAACCATAGATTACTTGAACAAAGCTACTCTGAAGTCAGGCCCTACTTTGTACTATAGCTGGCCTTGGGTCCCCACAAACTTCAGGAGATGACCAAGCTGGCCCAAGATAAACAGACCACCAATTACTCCCTGCTAAGCTTTAACTGCTCTGGAATGTCCAGATGGCCCATTAAGACCCAGCCAGTTTGATAACTCCCTACTACCTCTTTATCACCTTGGAATGCCCTGCTGATGCCTCTAGTTGCTGTAAATTTGTCAGTCTGTGATTTTTTTTTCTCCTTCTCCTTTTGTAACTTTGTAGTTTTTGTCTTTATAAACCCTGTGACATTTCAGCTTGGGGCTCTCCTCCTAAGCTCCGCTGAGTCGGTGTGTAGGACGAGGCCCGAGCTGCAGCCCGCCTGAATAAAGCCTTGCTTTTGCATTTCGGAACGTCTGACTCTCGGTGGTCTTCTTGGTGGGGTCCTGTGACGGAGGTACAACAAACTATCTGGAGCTTCTATTGCTCCCAGTTGAATGAAGTCCTAACCTATATCTTGTTAAATAGCAATTTCAAAGAGAGAAAAAGTTTTCTCAGGAGAAAACAGAATGGTTCATTTCAGAATAAAGACTGAAACAAAACTCCTTTCTTGAGAAACTGGAGGGTTCAGATTCAAGTTGGCTTGAGAGATCTAAGTTAGGGTCAGAGATTCAGAATACACTGTAATTAATCTAGTGTCTGCTTTGGTGTCCCTTTGGGAACACAAAAAAAAAACTGTAAAGATTAAAAAAAAATTAACTTGATTCAGCCAGAGAAACACACCATCTTCCAAACCATCTTCCAAACAGAAGATGGTTAAACTCAGACTAGCCTGAGTACATGTCCCTTTGTTTGCTTATTTGTAAACAAAAATCTGTATTTATACTACCCTTATTATCAAAACAAGACTGAAGATGATCATTCATTATTTCAGTATGTACAGGGCAGCAATGCCAAGCACACAGAAGACAGCCATCTGTCTTGGGCAGTTTTCTGCTGGATAAGAAAGGCATTCATCCATTGTGATGTCTCATGGGAACCAGCAGTAATGTGGTGACAGTTGGGAGGAGGAGCCAAACCTGGATGGAGCTTATAGCAGATACTACTGGGAAGAAAGCAATGTGTCAAGACTCAGGGAATGTGCAGAACTGGGCAGGTTCTGAGCACACAAAGAATCTTGCTCACTACATTTAAAGTTTAAACTTTATCTCAAAAGCTTTGAGGAGCCTAGAAAGATCTAAAGTAAGCCTGATAACTACCTCATCAGATTTGCCTTGTGGACAGATACATAGACAACTGTAAGGCCAGAGACAGTAGAGGAGACTGACCAAAAGTGTGCTCCCACTGGTGGTAACATATAAATGGAGAAAGGCCCTAAGGCTTGGGCAGTCCCTGCTGCTGCACTGCCAAGTCCAGGTAAAAGCATAGGTTAAGAAGGCAGGCTGCTCATGAGTGTCAGAAAGCAACACAAGCAAGGGAACTATGTCCAGAAGTCCCCTGTGTTCCTGCACAATATTCACCTTGCTGATTTTAAATGGCCTCTCCTGGGTCCGCTCTTTGTCAAATGAACGCTTCCAGTTTCCTTTGAAGTAGATGGCATTCACGAGAACCAGTCTGGTGTTTGAATTCACTGAAGCTGGAGACAGCAACTCTGTAATTTTATCTGAAAGGAAAAATTAAAGAGCCAGTTAGCTAAAAGTTTGCTAAAGATGGCACAAAGGGGCCATTTCCTTGCATAATTAAGAAAAGGGAAGAGCCAGGCACTACTGGCTCAACGCCTGTAATTCTACTCAGGAGGCTAAGATCTGAGGATCACAGTTAGAAGCCAGCCCAAGCAGGAAAATCTGTGAGACTTTACCTCCAAATAACCACCAGAAAACTAGAAGTAGAGCTATGGCTCAAAGTGATAAAGTGCTAGCCTTGAGCAAAAAAGCTCAGGGTCAGTGAATGCCAGGCCCTGAGTTCAAGCCCATGACTAACAGAAAAAAAAAACAAAAAAACAGGGATGAAGAGTTTTACCATCACAGGAAGGAGATAATATCCTTTAAAAAAAAAGAAAAAGAAAAAGATAAAGCAAAAAAGAAATAGTAACTTTAAAATTGTGGTAAAAAAGGACCAGTTTGAATAAAACACAAAAAAGAATGCATAGATGTTAATATTTACATGATGAGTTTATAACACATGAACTTGAATGAAAAAACTTGTACCCATAAAGAAAGAAACTTAAAGATTGTTTTAAAAATGAATAGTTGGGGGCTGGGAAGGTGGCTCAGTGGTAGAGCGCTTGCCTTGCATGCATGAGGCCCTGGGTTCAATTCCTCAGCACCACAAAAGCAAAAAGAAAAAAGCTGGAAGTGGCACTGTGGCTCAAGTGGTGAGCGCTAGCCTTGAGCTGAAGAGCTGAGGGAGAGCACCCAGAGTTCAGGCCCCACGACCGGACCAAAAAAAAAAAAAAATGAATAGTTGGGGAAAGAAATGATGAAAGGAATGATTCTAATCAAGATTACTATACACATAAATGGACATGCTAAACTGAAACTCCCTTGTACAACCATTAGAAGATAATAACATTTTTAAAAAGTTTCAGTAGGTAATTGTGTTCATAATGATTTAAACATTACATGATGTATGCATGTATGGAAATTCGCATATTACTCAATAAGTATGTACAATTTGTTTTATGTACCAGTTAAAGCAGTGAGTTTAAATTTTTGAAAGATGAGTCATTCTCCCTGTATAAGGTAAGCTAATTAAAAAATAATTTTAAAAGATATGAAAGCAACTTAAACTAGCAAGAGTCAAAATATAATTAGTTATAAGAAGTTTGTTAGAAACCACTGGTAGGGCTGGGAAGGTGGCTCAGTGGTAGAGTGCTTGCCTCACATGCATGAGGCCTGGGGTTTGACTTCTCAGTATCACATAAGCAGAAAAAGCCAGAAGTGGTGCTGTGGCTCAAGTGGTAGAATGCTAGTCTTGAGCTAAAGAGCTGAGGGACAGCGCCCAGGCCCAGAAATCAGGCCCCATGAGTGACAAAACAGAAAAATAGAAACCATTAGTAAAGTAGGACTGGCCAGCCACCGGCAGCAAGGCAAGAGAGGTGTGGAGCCTGAGCGTCACTGCAGAGACAGCTCTAGAAGCAGAATACAAACGTCTTTATGTCACTGTGGAAAGAAAGACTAGTCAAAAGAAATAGTGTGGATTGTTCTGGAGTATGAAACATTAAGAGATATCAGAAACACACTAGGAATGCACAGTAGAAAAAGCTAGAGAAAATGTCAGAGACAATACTTCAGAAGCAGATGTGTAAAGTTGTCAGATACTTTGAGAAAAAAAAAGTCGTACCTGTTTATATTTAATGTTCTTGTGAAGTAATCAACAATGGGATGGACTAAACTACTACTAAAAATAGAGCAGCAGAATAGAGTCTTTTCCTCAGCCGAGAGCAGACATGTGTCTGAGCTGTGCCCCGTTTCTCTACACAGACTTCGTTTTCCACATCTGCACTCCAGAAAGATGGCCCAGAGCAGATATACTACTCAGATAAGTACTTCGATGAGCACTATAAGTATCCGCATGTCATGTTACCCAGAGAACTTTCTAAACAAGTACCCAAAACTCATCTGAAGAGGAGTGGAGGAGGCCTGGTGTCCAACAGAGTCTTGGCTGGGTTCATTTCATGATCCATGAGCCAGAACCCCATATTCTTCTCTTTAGATGACCTCTTCCAAAAGAGCAACAAAAATGAAGTCTATCTGGGATCAGAAGTTAAATCTTGTTCAAATGTATGTGTATATATAAAGGTATTATTCAGTGAATACTTGAAAAAAATTCATCAATACCTGTGCAATGAGTTGTATTCTTCACAGCAACAGAGCTCAGTTAAATGTAACTGCAAGTAGGTTATTGTATGGTGTTTAAAATTTCTTCTAGTTGTTTTTTTTCTCATAATATGAGTGCCTGTTATTTTTGTTAAATAAAGTTTGTATGTTGCATTTAAAAAATAGAGCAACCGGATGGGGGCCAGGAGTGTGGCTCAGTGGACAAGCATGTGTTCCCCATGCTCTAAGCCCTAGCTTCAATTCCCAGCACCCAAATAAAATAAAATGATATCTTTTTTTACCTTCTGTCTTTTTGGCTACCCAGCTGTTTATATGTTTTCGGGACTCCTCTGCATCACTGACAAAGTCAAGCTCCTCCATCTCAGCTTGGTAGAATTTGTAGCAGGAATCTTTAAAAGGCTAAACACAGAACAACGTAAATGCAGGGCTATGAAAATGGACATTAACAACATATTCTTTACATACCAAAGTGACAAATGAAGCACTGATAATTTACAGATGTAATTTACAAATAAGTATGAGGAACAAACATAAAAACTGCTCAGTTTGCAGTGTCATTTGGGGTCTGTTTTGTTGGAGTGTTGGGAATCAATACCAAGGTCTTTCTTGCACTGTTAGGCAGGTGTTCCAACAGGGAGCTATGTTGCAGCCCTCAATTTTTTAAAAAGAAGATCTCTCTTTATGGCCTAAGCTAGCCTTGAACTCTTAATCCTCCCACCTCAAACTTCTAAATGCTGGGAATACAGATATGTACAACTATCCCAGGTTTGAGCTATTTAATTTTAGTTTATGAACAAAGATAGTTGTCTCAATATCAATAAAACTTCACAGACCACTGGATCTTGAGGGAGTAGCTGAGGCTCAAAGAAGCAACTGTGGGGATCCTGAGGTGCAGTAATTCAAGAGTGTCACTCTGATAAACCACAGCAGGGGCTAAGTGAGGGTTAATCCTGCAAGAGCTCTGCACTCCTACACTGCAGCAACCAACTTAGCAGGATGTGGGGAAATGAGCAAGTCTGCACCAGACTTTCCACTATGCCTTCCTGTGGTGGTAAAAACATTATAAATCTGCACCATCCAAACCCAGGTCACCTGTGACCATATAGCACATGGGACACAATCATGTAGCTACGAAGATGCATATTATATTTTAACTATGGTAGAAGTTAAATAGCTATGCATCTCATAGTTACTATTTGAATGGCTGTTTAGTTGAGCTTCTGTTTCTCAAAATACTTTTCAGGGTTGGGGATTATAGCGAGTACTTGCCTAACATGCTCAAGGCATGTTAGGGTTTGACCCTCTGCAGTGAAAATTTTTTTTAAAAATAGTTCAACTATTTTGATGATATAGTCTATGAAATAATAATGATTACCTAAATCCTGCCATATTAAAGGAGAATTTTTTCTATGTGCCAGGACTAGGGCTTGAACTTGGGGCCTGGGCACTGCCCTTGGCTTTTTTTCTTAAGGCTCATGTTCTACCACTTGAGCACAGCTCCATTTCCAAATTTTGGAGGTTAATTGGAGATAAGAGTCTCATAAACTTTTCTGCCTGAGCTGGCTTTAAACTCAGAGTTCAATTCCAAGTAGCCAGGTTTGTAGGTGTGAGTCTCCAGTACCCTGCTTAAAGAAGGAAATTTGAATGAATAGAAATGGGTTCCAATAGCTCATTGACAACATTGTGAAATTATTTTGTAATATCTGAGTTGCTATTCATTGGCAGAAAGTTAGAAAAACCCCAGACAAAGGCTGCCAGTAGTCAGCTTTTGTCCCTTCTCCATCCTTGCTAAAAAGCAAAAGAAATCTCTCCCTCAGTCAAGTTTACCAAGCTGGCAGCTTTGCAGAAGGCTGCTGACAACCTTTAGGCTCATCACCAGCTGCACTAAGTTGCTGTATTAGTCAGAAGCTTATAATAAAAATAACTTCTGTAATAGTGTCAATAGCATTGATAGTATAAGTCATGCTGACCAAGTCAAGATTATGTTTTGCCTATGCTCCCGTGATTCAAATCTATGTTTTTTTTTTTGCTATGTTTTGCTTCTGTAACCTTGCTGGCTTGGCTCAGTAACAGGGCCTTAAGCCCACCAATTGAAGACCACCACCAAGTGGTCCCACTATGGGCAGCCTATTCCAAATTATTACGTATGATATTTACCATAAAGAACAAATGAATTTAAAGGTCATATAACTGTAACCAATGAAAATGTGCCAAACCTGCCTTGCATGGCTCATCTATGTAACTCTATGTAACCTTCCCCTTAAAAACCACAGCTTGAGGACTGCTCGGGGTCACAGTCACAGCTCCCGAGTCCGTGCTGCGTCCCTGGCTGGTCAGCTATCCACTTCCCCAATAAATTAATCTTTTTACATAAGACTGTCTCTGGGTGGTGGACTCTAGTGGTATGTAAAATCGCACCGGGAGGAATGTGGAATCCCCTCCCTCGGACCCCATAACAATTTGCCAAATTTCTTCAAAACAGCTTATGACATATTTAATTCCTCATTTGAGAACATTCTAATAATATAGGATTTTTCACTTCTCCTTTAGTACAGCTTGGGAGCAAGTATGCAATACTTGCATCAAGCAACACAAGTTGTTTGATTATAAGCTGTGTGGTCCTAGATGCTTAGCTGGCTGGTTTCTATACCTCAGAAGGTCACTATGAGGTCCAGATAGATGGTTTTCATTATTGTTACTTTATGTAACATTTCTGACTTCTCTGTAAGCTTCAAGCACTGTAATGGTGAACTTCATAGATCATTTCCTTTACTCCTTACATAGTTCATGCTGTTCTAACTACACTAATTGGCATTTGAAAAGGTTTTTCTGTTTGTTTCTTCGTTTGTGCTGGTACCAGGACTTGAACTTAGGCCTAGGTTTCCACTTGGCTTTCTTGCTTATGGCTCCTGTTCATTTCTTACTCATTTTGCCACTTGAGCCACACGTCCAGCACAATTTTTTGCTGGTTACTTGGAGCTCAAATCTGCCTGTGCTGACTTTAAACCATAATCCATTAATCTCAGCCTCCTGAGTAGCTCGGATTATAGGTATAAGCCACTAGTACTAGAAGAAATTAAGAAAGAAAGAAGAAGGAAGGATGGAAGGAAGGAAGGAAAAAAGAAATGAAAGGAAAAAGAGAAAGGAAGGAAAGAAGGAAGGATGGGGGGGGAGAAATAAAAATTTTTTCCTTTGGGCAAGTCCTAATGCTTGAATTCAGGGCCTGGACACTGTCCCTGAGCTGTTTTTTTTTTTTTTTGCTCAAGACTAGCACTCTACCACTTGAACCACAGCTCTACTTACAGCTTTTTTTGGTAGTTTTACTGCAGATAAGTGTCTCAGGGACTTCCCTGCCTGGGCTGGCTTTGAACCACAATCCTCAGATCTCAGCCTCCTGAGTATCTAAGATTACAGATGCGAACCACTGATGCCCAGCTAGGAAAACATTTTTAAAAACAAAAAAGAAAAAAACACTACTATACAGACCTTGCCAATACTTGACCTCATACTTTACTACATTCATTTTATATCACTTAGTTTTAAAACAACGAATGTAAAGTCTAAAATGGATTCAAAAATGAATGATAATCACAGAAAAAAAAAAGATTGAGGGCTGGGAAGGTGGCTCAGTGGTAGAGTGCTTGCCTTGCATGCCTGAGGCCCTGGG